GGATTACTCACACACGTACTTTTATTCTCACAATCGACACCTTGCCTTCTACATTTCTATATTTGTATTGTATTCGATATGATGTATAATAATAATATGTAATGTGTGTAAATAGGTGCACATGTGTGTATGCAAACAAGACCGACAGAGATAACATTACGATTTTTAACGTCAAACCTACGATATATGTTAAAATTAACTACCCGTGAGAAGTCGCTTTTTATCTTACATTTAATATGTTAATCTTTTTTATTTTTATTAGACTTTTACTTTTATTTCTCGCGGTTTTTATCTTAACTCACTATTAATTTAATATTAAGTTATTAGTAATTGTGATTGTACATTAATTGAATATTAAGTAGTGTATATATTACCCTAGCGGTTTTGTAAATGCCGAAAAAATGTCGCAGTTATACAGTATTAATGCGGTATTTTTTCAGCATTTTTTAGGTTGTTTTGGTCAGTTTTTTCATCGAAATATTACGGAACATGTACTGTAAAAATGCGAAATATTTACGATAAAAATGCGGTATATTTATGGTAATAAGGCGGTAAAATGACTGTATTAAAACCATATTTAAAAAATGGTGTAAAATCAAATAAAGCTCAGACTGGGATTCGAACTCAGAACCTCCCGAGGACAAGTCGGCTACTCTACCATTTGAGCTACCTGACCTGTACCATATTCTTTTTTTGCTTATTCTATATACATTAAGCCATACCGTCCATCTTACGATAAGCATATTTAAAATTAAATAATGTAATTATATATGTGAAACAATGTAACTTTTCGATTTTAGAAAATTTGCAATTTTCTAAGTGAGAAATTAAAAATTGAAATTGAAATTAGAATATATTTACTTAACATATGCATTCTTTAATATTCATTACCGCTAAATACCTAATTAAAAAATAATATTCTACATAGTATTTATTAAAAAACAGTATTTGTTTTTGCAAAGTAGCGATGGAGAATAAAAAGCAAAATTGGAAATTTTTCTTTTTATTCATTTCTAATCTAGAAGTGAACTAAAAATAAAACCAAATTTTTAATAATTTTCCATTATGTCAGAAAATATTCGGCAAAATTACTGTATTATTACGGTAATTATTTGGAATTTTTTGGGTAAAATTTGGGCATTAATGCGGTAATTGTATAGTATATTTTTGGTAACTGTACAGCATGTGCAGTATATATACTGGATATTTACAGTATAAAAACTGGCCAAAAGAACTATAGTTTAACCGCATTATTACGGTAAATATACGGCATGAGCATAAATGCCGAAAAATTACGGTATTTTTACGGCATTCTCAAAACCGCGAGGGTATACACGAAAAAAAAGGTTCACTTGAGCCAAGAAAATATTTTCTCTTCCTAATTATTTTCTTGAGCGAAAAAAATTTTGTTTTCCAGTCAAGAAATTTTTCTTTCTGTGTATTTTTTTAAACAGTGTAGTTAAATAGCATCACCACTATTTAATTGAAGTTCTTATACCTAAAGTTATTTATTATAGTGAACCCCAGTATAAAGTTACTAAAACTATTTTTAATTAAATATGGGCTTAGTAGTTATCTTGATCAACTTTAACTCAGAAAACAGAAAAACTAATTCAGACAGTCCGGACCGGGAATCGAACCCGGATCTTTTGGTTGCGGATCATGGGCGCTTTCCGTTAAGCTACACGGAAAAAAGAGAACAATAATAATTACAGTTTAAAATCTAAAACCAAGCCCGTCGTTATCAAAATAGAAAAAATTAAAGTTCAAACTGTAATTTTTGTATTTTATATAGTAACAAAATTGTTGTCATGCAAGAAGCAAATTTTACAGTTTGGAAATGTAAATCTAACATTATAAAAAGGTAAAAATATTATTGCTTTTTATGCAGGAAATTTTATCTCTTTAAAAGTCATTAATTTCTATTTAAAACTGTAAAAATTATCATTTTTCAGCAATGTACAAATTAAAATGCCAAATAATAAAGTTTATTTACAGGTTCACTAAAATTTAAAGTGTGAGATACGAATTATGAACGTTAGTGTAGAAAAAGTAACTATTGCATCTCACGCTGTAATTTTTAGATTTTCTATATTAAGTACAGCCAATACTCTAGCAGCCAGGAACTTACTGCTTAAAATCCAAAATTTAACGTTTGGCTCAGCAATGTTTGAATAGCGGTAGAGAATTCTATCCCCTCTCCCGTATAAATTGGACTTAGTTTTTTTCAGTCACTATTGTCGACGCATACTATTTACGCTTGTAGCTTATAACTACACTCTACTACACAGAATGCTATGTCGTTCGAATAGCGTCGGAATAAAACGTCGGTCTTTCATATGCGTAGACGCTGGGATCGAATCCTAGCTAGGGTAATTTGCGATTAATATTATTATAAGTTTATTTATATAAAGAACGCGAGTATGTGTGTGATATGATCAACTAATTTCCTAATACTAATCCCCTCTCCCCTTCCTCAAATTAAAAACTTCGAAAATAAATATGATAAGAAATATGTCCCATGAACATATGAATAACCAATACCAAAAATTGAATTTCATTCAAAAAAAAATTTTTTTTTATTTCACATATAGACTTTAGAATTGCCGTTTTCCATCGTTGTCACACTAAAATTCAATATATTACAGATTGTTACTTATTGTAATATTAGGATATAAATATTTAGGTAGTGAGTATTATTAATGGGAGAAAAAAAATATTTTATTATATTGATATTTTTTTTTTATTTCATTTTATTTTACGTGTAAAAAATCGGATTCAAACTTGTCAAATGAAAATCTAAATTTTAGACGCTTATCGAGTATTATTTCAATGACTTGTACAAAAACTTACAGTGTGAGATAGTAACTTTTATACATCGTGAAACACTAATATTTCTTACTCAAAATGTAAAACTTACTGCGTAACGCCAAGCTGTACACTGAAAAAAAAGTTTTTTTATACCCGGAATACTGAATATTTTTTAGTCGAGTTTTCTTGTAGTTAGTAAAAGTCAAGTTAAATATTTTAGATTTAAGAAAACTGGTATTTTAAATCTGAGAATACCAAGTTTTTTAACAGGACTAAAACTAAATTCTATGTTACCATAGCAACCGTGACGGTGGCGCCACTATTTTGTCATTTCCCTCCAATCTACAGTGTACGCGTGTTTTTGAGTTATTAGTTTACCTCGTGCCTGAGTCTACTTACCTAAATATTTATTTATGTAAATTAAATAATTTATAAATAAAAGTATTAATCATTAATATTACTCCCCTTTACTCCCTTACTTATATGGATTCTTGGATGCAAAAGAAGTTGTCAGAATGAAATTTATCATCTCCAACAAATTTATAACTCATTGTAGCAATACATTCTTTCCTTATAATCAACTTTTATAATAAGGTAAAAGACCCAGCTATTTTCACTGGCCTAGTTGTTTGACACTTGCAATTCTATTCTAATTAAAAAAATAAAATGTTCTCAAAAAACAAATTATCTTAAAATTTATAATTCAAATATAATGTTTATAAAATTATCAGAGTTGATTTTTTTTTTTAATTCAAATAAAATTGCAAGTGTCAATAACAAGGTCTTTTACCTTAGTAATGTAATTAGAAAATT